GAACACTATTAAAAATGATGATGGGGTATACCCCACCTATTAAATTTAATATAAACTTGAGAATCAAATACAGAATCAAAGAGAATCATTAGAATCCTTAATATATATATAGTATTATGTAATATAAATATATAGTCTACTTATATATAAATATATTTACTATAAAACATATATGTATAGTACTTTTTAATATATATAATAACAAAAGCTTATTATAAATATATGAACAAAATGTACATCTGTTCAAAAAAGAGACAGTTATGAATATATAATTAATAAAAGACGTGATAATAAAAGGATATCAAGCTCCAAGGTTAAAATATTATATCAAAACTAAAGACAGAAGCAATTAGAATACTAGGGATTTGGATTACAGAGACAGGAAACAAAAGATATCAGTTAGATCTAATTAGCTACAAAGTGCAATCCACAATTCAAATTTTAAGAAAAGCTTTATCACAGACAAACAATAAAGATATATAATTAATAATATTCTAGTCCCCAAAATAATATATCTCTTACAAGATATAATCACAATAAAATAAATATGTAAAAAATGAAACAGTATAATTTGGAGAATTTTCAAATACAAAAACAACCTGGTATTGATAGTGATTAACAGTGGAATATATTGTTACTTTGGTTACAAACTGTTTAGTATTAAAGATAAACAAATACAATTACATATTAAGTTCACATTGCAAATTTTTAATAAACAAAAAATATATAGCCAGATAACAAGAGAAAAAATTCAGGACCTGTGGGTCTGTAGTGTAGTGGTTAACACTCCACAGGTCAAATCACAAGATACCAATTCAACCCCATGTGAGGGCAGTTGAATAGAATTAATATGGTATTTGGCACCATAACCTATAAAAAGCACCATTTCTTATAGAAAAAGCCGTGTCACACGCTGATCCAGTGGGCTTTAAGATTGTGATTTCCAGAAAAGGCGTCATGGCGCGACGATCATCCAGTTGGTGTTACGATAATCGCTATAAGTTGTAAGGAGTATGAGATGTCCGCTTTCGGTAAAGATGACTTGGTGATCATTTTCCCGTGGTACCTGATGTTTCTTCCTATAAAGATAGCCAGAAAGGTCCTATTCCAATTCAATAATAAATCACTCAGATGGTTACTTATCCCGAGAAGACGGTCCAGCAGTAAGACTGCTAGGTAACCTTGTGGATACCTAAATGGGCAGTAAGACCTGGTGACATAAGTTCCTTGGATGTTCTTGGATAGCTTGAGGGGGGTGGAAATTAAATGGAAATCGGTGCGTCTGGCTGCAGGTGGTCAGATCTGGAAGGTTAACTAGATAGTGTTCTATTCGCCAAATATAGGTACTACCCCAGTGCCCCAAAAATTCAAATTCCTCTTAATTTCGCACAGTGTCAAATAGAACATCTAGTTTAGATCAATAGGATGTATTGCGGTAATCTTGAGACGGCAATACATTAAGGTAGGCTGCACCCAGATGGTATATCTGTGGGTAAATTCTAATTGTAAATAGTTGTAAGTGTAGACAGAAATGTACTATGTATGTTGTTTACAGCACTTCTAATAAATTAGAGTAAAGCTTACTTGCAATACAAAAAAAAATAATAATAATAATTGCCATTCATAACTATAAACAAAACAAAATAATAAAAAAGAATTATTATAAAAATTAAAAGCAATATAAAAGAACAACAACAAAAACACTAAAAAACTTATCAATAGACAATAACATTAATGGCTATTGTGATATTTCAATTTTAATTATGTTTATGTTTTTTGAAGAAGTTAATTTCTATAAAATTATAATTGAGTTGAATATGCTTATGAATAATGATAACAAGATACAAGAGCTTACTAATATGACAGTTTTGATGTTAAGTCTCAAGATATTGTTATAATTATGATCATAATCACAGTCCTAGAAATTACAATGCTATATAAGAAAAAAGTTCTACAAAATTTTTCAAAAAAAAAAACTAGTTTTAAAAACCTTCAAAGTGCTATAGATCACAATTCTTAAATTGTAATGAACCCATTATCTAGAAGAATTACTGTGCCAGATTGTGAAGCAAAAAGAAAAAAGAAACCAAGATCCATCACCACAAAAAAAAAATGTTAAATAAATATAAAAGATATAAAAAAAAAAGATTTTGAATAATAATACCTATTTGACAAGATCTATAATAAGAAATTTAATCATGAAGAAGTGATTAGTATTAAGATCATGAATGATTAGACATGAAAAAAGATCCCTAAATAAAATAAAATAAAGTTAATTATTGTAATAATAATATTGTATACTGAACAGAACTAATGAGTATAATAAAAAATCCATCTATCAATAATGCTGCTCAAGACCTAAATCAAATAACAGAGTTTTGACCTGACCAAAAAACAAATTTTTAATATTTGTTTTAAATCAATTTTCAATATTTGTTTTAAATCAATTTTCATATATAATATCACTATAGCAATATTTGCTATATTATTTCAAATTTTTTAAAATTTTTCATTTATAAAACCAAAATTCTTTTACTTTCTAAAGATAATTGTTGCTTTTCAATTATTCATTAAAATATCATAACAAAAACTGGATCTGTTCAAACTGGTTTTTCAGTACAACAATAATAACAATAACAATAATATTAAATAATATTAAATATACTATAATTTCTTTTTATCAAAGTATATATCAACAATTGAAAAATTTGGTAGACTTTAGTTTTTCTTACAGCTGAGCAAAAGACTTCTCTGAAAACATGATCTTTATTACCATGGATCTTATTGTTTATTTGACTTAGTTTCAGCTCTAGTTATTTTATCATTGTATATATTTTCTATTATTATCTATTTTTTTATATTTTATTTTTAAATTTATAAGAAAATTTCACAAAATTTTCTGAATAGGTAAGCATAGCTGCTATTCAGACACAGCTAGTATATAGTATTGTTTTGAATTTCTTTTTCAATATTAGCTAGATGTGTATATGTAGGCAAGCTAGCATTTAACTTTCTGAAATACTGAAAGAGGTGTTGTTTTTTTCATGATGTATACCTTTTTATATACAAATCAAATAAAGAAATGATGTTTACCTATGGAATAGCCCCCCAAAAATAAAATAAAAGCAATTACATGTTTTATTTTGTCATTAATTTATTAACACTTCTATTTTATTGCAACATACTTTAAAAAAATCTACGGCTCGTAACCAAAGCAAGAATCCAAAAGTTTTATCAATGATTAAAAAATCAGGGCGCCAAAAGATAATGTCCATTTTAGAGTATGTACCGATGGGATTTTTAAATTTCAAACATTTCTTATATTACATTATTTCGAAGTAAATATATTCAAAGTGGTGCGGAAATTAATAGATAAGTTAGGAATTTTTAGTTTCATTTTTTGTTTTATTACTCAAATTAAAATTAAAATTTAGATAAAAAACGGGAGTACGAAGAGTCCACGTTTCCTAAGTCATTAATTTTTCTTTTAAACTCGATTATTATAGAAATACAAATTATCACAAAGAAAAAAAAAAAACTTATTTCTCTACTATAGGAAAAATAACAAGTGTCAATATTTCTATTACATTCAGCACGTTAATAAATAATAGCATTCAGCGTATAGGCTTTTTAATCTATCACAGACACGATTATGGTAAATTCTCACCCATGTTTTCATTTAAATACTCCAAGACACTAAAGAAGAAAAGGTAACTATCAAATTAGCATGAAAAGGTTGTTGAATTAATGTTTGATAGCGTGAATGAGTACCTAGGCAAAACAGATTGTGACTTCAATAAAACTTCCTGCCATTCCAGCTCCGGGTCAGAAAGATAAACGATCGCGCCACCTGCCCCAATCGATATTTCTAAAAACAATCCAAATACATTAGTCAAACTTGATTTTGTGAGCACGTAATTAAAGTTCATACCTTT